GGGAAGGTAAACAGCATTCTGTGCAATCATGTTGGCCCCATGATCACACAGTAGTCTCTGACAACGACTTGTCAACAGGGAATACTTTTACCTTGGGTGACCTTAGGCCTGAGAGGCCACCACTTACACACCTCTGGATTCTGCCCAATAGCGATGCTTGAGAGCTTAAGGCAGTCTCTTTGAAGTTTGAATGCTCCTCACTGTACGTCTCCCATGGGCTACCTTCCCATCCAGGCCCCCTTTTCCTGCCTCAAAGTGGCTGTTGTTGTTCTTGTTAGCTGCCCTGGAGTTGACCCTGTCTATTTACGGCGACCCTGTGGATGAGGCCCCTCTGAGCAGGTTGACCAGAATGTCCTCACAGCAAAGGAAGAGGACAAGGCACTGCAAAATGTAGAGCATTCAAAGAAAAATGGGAGATGTGACCAAATAAAAGCTGACGAGCCACTCGGCTCAGTGTAAATTCATAGCTTCTTCATCATGCTCAAAATGGAGGGCATGTCCTGGTTACCCTGTCTCCAAGTGCCCCCGTCCTCCACTGCTCAGCTCATGCCTTGTAGATTCATACTTGTGACCTCCCTGATTGAGTCCATCCATATGAAGTGGGATTTTCTCTCTTTATGCTTCCCTCTATCTTTCCTACCGTTATTGTCTTTTCCAATGAGCCTTCCCGTGATGTGGACAAAGTATGACAGTCTCAAAGGTGCTGCAAGATCTCTCTGCATATTGACTCTACAGATTAACACGGCTATTGTATCTTTGAATTCAGCCTCAATTTTATCATCTTGGCTTCCAGGGAGGTTTCAGGCTTGATCGGTTCTAAGACCCTTTTTTGACTCATGGTGACCTTATCATGGATTTTTCTTGGCAAGTTTCTTCAGAGGGGGTTTCCTTTTGCCTTCCTCTGAAGCTGAAAGAGTGTGAGTTTCCCAAGATAACCCAGTGGGTGTACCTGGTCTCCAGAGTCAAAGTCCAGCACTCAAACCACTGCACTACACTGTATCTCAGTGCTGTAGGTACATTGTCATATTTTAGTCTTCATGACAACCCTGTCAGATGGGGAGGTATTACTATTCCTGTGTTGAAATAGGGCATGAGAGAAAGTGGTTTACCTGAGACAACCTCACCTTATAACAGAGCCAATAATGTTATTTTTTTGTAGCTCAGTCTGTTCAGTTTTAAGAATGTTGCTTATTTCTAGCTCAATCTGTTCAGTTGTCAGTTGTACCAGAGTTTGACCTTGAAGAATTATTGTCCCAAACTTGGTCAGATTTTTGGGAATAACCTTTTATGAAACTGCAAGTCCAAGGTTTTCTTCAGGTTTTAACTGGGTTTCCTAAAGCCAAATTTGCCAATCCATCAGGTGGATTCAATGTAAGCATTTCATGATTCAAGTGCACAAACATTCACAATGGGTATGTGTGAATCCTTATGTGAGTGTTGGCTTCCAGTACACAAGTACCCCCATAAGAGCCTGTCCAGTCAATAAGTGCTGTACATACTTCGAATAATAAATACCCAAGTTAAACATGCTTTTGTTGTTTGAAAGAGTTGATGAAAAAGTTGTCAGTGAAAAAGAGTTCTCATTGATGCATAACAGTATGAGAAGGGTATTTAATAGTGATTCTTAGTGTAATAATACTGTAATAATAGCATTGAGTAATAATAAAGTGTGAAAGTAATAGTGTTACCCATTCAAAACATCCAAAAGTCTTGTGCTACTTTAAAGGTAAACAAACATAAGATGCCATAAGCTTCAGTGAATACAGTCCACTCTGTTATGAGGTTCTATCCTCAGTTGACAGATTTATATAGATATGCTAGGGTGAGGTGGGGATTGTCAACAATAAAGTTGCAGAAGACTTAAAGGCAGAAATTGCTGACTGCCGGCAGTCCTAGTTCTTGCTGTGTACCTTCAAATCAATGGCAACCCTAAGACAAATCTATCATGATGTTTTCTTGGCAATATTTGTTCAAAAGTGATTGCCTTTGCCTTCCTCTGAAGCTGAGAGATTGTGACTTAGTCAAGATAACCCAGTGAGTTTCCATGGCTGAGTGGGGATTCAAACCCTAGTCTCCAGAGTTGTAGTCTAATGCTCAAACCACCACCTCAGCTCCCCAGCAGCCCTAGTAGACAAGATTGAGAAAGATGAACTAGGGCTGGTGGGTGCAGTCCCATGTATTCACAGTATGGCTGCTTGGCTTTGCATGGTCACATTGAATAGATCATGTACCCAGGAATATGCTCGAGAATTCCCCATTCTGGGAGGCACACATATATTCACTTGTTGTTGTTTGCCTTCAAGTCGTTTCTGATTATGGCAACCCTATCGCAACCTTACAGGGTTTTCTTGGCAGGTTTCTTCAGAGGAGATTTGCCATGGTGCTCCTCTGAGGCTGAGAGAGTGTGACTTCCCCAAGGTCACCCAGTGGGTTTCCATGGCTGAGCCAGGATTTGAACTCATGTGTGTCCCAGTGTCCAAGTCCAGTGCTCAAATTACTACACTACACTGGCGCTCTCTCTCTATATTCCCTTACCCCACTGGATTTGGGAGGACATTTCCTCATACCCTTTTTATAAACAGTAAAAGCCTCCTGGTTCCTATAGTGACCATGGAGGAGGCAAATTTTGCTAGAGTTTGGGGGGTTCTGGCTTGTTATAGGTTCAAGAAACTCCTTTTTTGTTACAAGGAGGAAATGATTGAAAGTTAATTGCTGGAGCCCCTGAGGAGCTGTGTGCAGGCCACATTTTTCCCACCCTGGTTATGATGTGCTTGACAAAATCAGTGTGAAAATAGTTGCCTGAAGATGAAAACTTCAGAAATTACCATGTTGCAAGAACGTGTCCTATGCTTTGTTTAGGTTTGTGGGACTTGTGTCCCTTTCAATGTTTTTGCAGCCATATTGAGTCCCATTATGCATCCAGTGAGAGCCAGCATGACATAGTGGTCTGAGTGTTGGACTACAACTCAGGTGACCAGGGTTTGAATCCCAGCTTGGCCAAGGAAACTCACTGGGTGACCTTGGGCAAGTCACATGATCTCAGCCTCAGGGGAAGGCCGTGGCAAATCTCCTATGAACAAATCTTGCCAAGAAGACCTTAGGGTCTCCATAAGTTGGAAATGACTTGAAGGCACACAACAACAGTGCACCCTATAAATGCATAAACATATTTTAATTACAACTTTACTATTGGGAATTCTGTCTGGGGACTGTGGAAACTAAAGCCAGAAACATCTAGTGAGCTAAATTTTTTAGCTTTAATTGAAATTATTGACACTTTTAAAAAGCAGATGTTAGAATTCTGATCAGTATAGCTAGCCTTGTGTTTCTTTGGGGACTTCTTTGCACAATCTCTTTCTTCAAACATGCCTGGTCAGTCCTCCGCTGCTACCACAACTATGCTGTCCCAGATGTTTCCTAGCCATATGGCCAGAGGTATCCTTCCCCCTAGCCTGTACAAAACAATACGGGAGCTTTGCTTTACTCACACACCCTTCATAATGGGAGGAAGAAAAGAGCTTCCCTTAAGGAAAGCATGGAGGGGAGGGGAACGGAGTGGGATTTGTGAAAGGGAAAGCTATCTCTAGAACCACTCAGATCCAAAACATGCTGCAGAAATAATCCAGTTTGAGGCCCCTTTAACTGCTCTGGCTCAGTGCTAGGGAATCCTGGGAATTATCATTTGTTGTGGCAAACTTGTGAGACAGAGAAGGCTAAATATCTCAAAAAACTACAGTTCCCAGAATTCCCTAGCAAACTAGATTATTTCTGCAGTGTGATTTGGCCCACAGAAGAAAGGATGGAGGGAACAAAGAGATACTAGTTCATGTCCCTTTCAGGATCTTGTCCTATATGAGCAATATTGTTCTATGTGGTATAAATAAAAGTATAGTGGTCCCTCCGGATTCATGGGGAATATGTTCTGGGAGGCCCTGTGAATTTGAAATTTCACTAATATTCAAGTCCTATTATAATTATTATTATTATTACTACTTCACTTTTCTCCCAAAGTGGGACCCAAGGCAGCTAGCAAAATATATAAAACACATTAAAACAACCATTAAAATAGTTCAATTAGAACTGTAAAAAATATAAAAATTACAAATACAAAATTTAAAACAGAGTTAAAAAATAATAATAATAATCTAAAACTAACCCCCTCATCCTCCAGTGAAACCAAGCCTGCAGGATTTTAAAAGACTTGCTTAAATAAAAAATGTCTTCATCTGCTGGTGAAAGGCCAGCCTGGCCTCCCATGGAAGGGAGTTCCACAGGATGGGAGCAGCCACTGAGAAGACTCTCTCTTGCGTCCTCACCAAACGGGCCTGGGATGGTGGTGGGGCCGAGGGAAAGCCTTCTCCTGAGGACCTTAGGGCTCTAGGTGGTTCGTATGGGGAGATACGGTCTCTCAAATAGTCTGGTCCAAAGCTGTGTATATGGCATCATTGGGACTTGACTATTTGTAAAATTCCCTCCCCCCCCCATTGGTTTCAGGAGCCAATTACAAGCCCCGATGGCCCGAGCTCTGATTAAAGTCCTCAGGGCCAGGGGGAAGATGCCGGTAAGGGGAGGGAGGGAGCCGCAGCCTTGGCCTCGCGAATGATCAAAACTGCGAGTGCCAAGGCCGCGAATCCGGAGGGACCAGTGTATTCCTGCCAGTAACTAAATTATTATAAGCAAAAGGGATTAGAAAAGAATAGCAGTAATAGAGTAAAATCTTGTTGACTACCAAGCGTTAAGTGTTAAAATCATTGATTGTGTCACCATCCAAGGGAGGAATGAGATTTTGACCCTGTGTATAGAAGCCAGGGAATAATGTAGCTTTTACATTAGAAAAATTCAGTGCATTAAATTCATTAGAATTTGATTTAGCATGTTGATTTGAATTTGAATCCACCTTTGTGGAAAGGGTGTTGTTATAAATAAACATCTAATTGTTGTTGTTGTATTTTAATAAGACAGGGGCAGGCAACCTAAGGTCCGGGGGGCGCGCGGGCCGGATGCGGCCCCCTGGGGCCTTTGGACCGGCCCCAGGCCAGTC